CATAATAAATAAACATGCAGGATATTTCATTGAAATTATCAGCTTTATCGCCAGCTTACAGCCGTATGGTATGCAGTTGTCGTCCGCTGTACTTTTGATACAAAGAGTGTAACTTTTTCTAGCCGCAGGGTCGCTGAAGTAAATTATTTCAGTTGAATTGCTTTTGAAAGAATAGGCTACTCTTATTCGCTGGCACATGAGCCAATAGCAGCACAATACCACCTGGCGATGCATGCAAAACGAAACTTCGTCCTGGAAGTGTAGCGGGGACCGGCGTATCAACGATACCAACTTTCCTTCTCGCTTCTTCCTTCTATCCCTGAAGAAGCGAAAAAGACGGTTTTTGCAGCAGAAGGAACTACTCGATCAGTGTTGTTTTTGTTTTCCTTGTACACTGTTTCCTCATGTATAGAAACTCAGCGAATTGCCAGGTTGAGGTAAAATATTTGATGCCATAGACAGTCCGCAAGGAAAACGCTCGACACGTCCTGCCGGGTGCGAAAGTGCACTTTGTGACTGCCCATAAGAACTTGACCGATCATCAGCAACTACTAACGTCAGATGAGAGATCGAAACCTGCGGAGCGTCTTGAGGGGGGAGGGGGCGACGAACGACAGAAATCGGACAGGACAGACAGACAGGAACTCGAATCGATCGTAAAGGCTGTTCAAGCCCTTAGTGCTTCTGGTGTTACACAGACGTGATTCAAACAACAAATGAGTGATCGATCCGGAATGTCGATAATTCTTCAATCCATTAGCATTCATCTGGACAGATCTAAATGGATTGCAACTTTTCGCCGTGAAATGAGTACACTTTTGAATATCGCCGCAATGCTGCGTAAACAGCGTATCGAGTAGCGAGTACCGGTAAAGATGATACGTACTTAAGGTCGATTATGGCTGGAGTTATTACGACACAATCGCTCTGTATAAATATTTTACATCATCGGCCTTCGCTTGTTTTGTCTTTCGTTTGTGAGGAATGGAACGATCGACAGCTATGAACCGCACGCGGTCAGTCGCTCGTGACGACTGTCGTATTCCCAGCTGTTCGACACAACGCCGTAGACCTCGGTTTCTTCGAATCTTGGTGAAGCACTCCTCTGCGTGGCGAAAACTGTCTATTTCACGTAGTCCGACGCTTC